TTTCCACGCATCATAAATAACTTCCAGCGTTAAATTTGGATTAGAGATAAATATATTTTTCATTTCTTTTGAATTAAAAAAAAAGTCGCGCCCAATTAAGTCGGGGCTTCAAAAGTTGCCCTAGCAACCCCTCTCTTCTGGACGCCCCTGTTTGCAGTTGGTGAGGTAAAAGAGGAATTTTCGGAATTCTCGAAGTTACCGATTGGATATCTGTGTTCCTTCTATTTCACGAAGTGGAGAGAAATGTTAATCGGAGAATAGCCTCGCTTTCGTTGTGATCCTTCCCTTGCTCCTCCCGTTCTTCAGTGGACCCGGCTATCCGTACCCCACTCAACACACGCGATTGCAAGCCCTCGAAAGGGTGATGGTAACTGGAGGTGAAAATTTGGTGTTTGTTACAGAACTTAAAAAAGTCCATCTCTTTGAACTAATGGCGAATCTAAAATGGAATGAGCAGATTCAACGTGATTTTACTTTTTTTAAAAAATCGTTTCACTTTGACATATTTCTTTTCCTTGGTAATCTTCTTGCTAGAAAAAGCAAATGCGTCCGTGTTGGGTATTGGGTAAGCTGTGTTTTCGGCCGCTTTCCAAGCGAACTGGCTACTTCCCGAATTTAATGCGTCATTCGGATAAGCTCTTTTTCCTTCTGGGAACGCATATGCGTCATTGCTGAGTTTGCGAGTTATAGAGTTATCGGATTCGTTAGAATGATACGTTGATCGTATTACTTATTAGCATATCTCTTATTCATTTTACTTGTGATGTTCGCATTTTACAATATTCTTTCTTTCTTAGGCATAAGCCCAATTGAGAACGAGTGAAGTTATCAGAAGCGTTTCATTGTCTTTCCATGCCCCCATTTAATTTATTATGTTGCTATTATATATTATTGTTATTACTATTTGTGAGACGTTTCATATGTTTATCATGGGATTGTCACGTCGGGTTAGATTTTCAATGAACGATACGAGCATGTAAGCGACGCCTTAGTAGCTTTCGTTTCCGGAAATGTCCATTTTAAAACTAGTGCTTTGTGTGTCGTAAGTTCCCATCGGGAATTTAACCTCGCACTTTTACAGAAAGCAAGCACAGGGGGAATTAATATTCATGAATATAATAATGTAGGGAATAATAATAAAATGATAATGATTATTTTAGAATACACATTAGGGATGTAATATCAGATCCTGCTAAAAGAGAAACAAACTTAGAATAGCATTTGTGATGTCATTTGTAAAGCTGTGTTCGGCGCAATCGCATTGCTGCTGCTAGCTTTCCTGCTACTTTCGCATCAGAAAGCTTATCAATTGATTAGACAAATTTCATAGCACATTCCCTAAACAGTTGGGAAACAGTAATCTGTGTAAACCAGAATGCAACAAGTCAGGCTCCAGAACAGACCAGACTTTCGCGCAACGATTCAAAACTGAGTTTTAACGAGAAGAAATTATCGCAAATAATAAAGGTAATATAATAAAGGTGGCGATTTCCGACGACAAAATGCCATGATACAGTAAAATCTCTTGGGACACTTTGCCTGAAAACGCAGAATAATGACAACGTAGCAAACAAGTGGTGTTACAACAGTACATTCTCGCGTTATTTCTAACTTTTGCAATTTTCGTAAGTTAACGAAAATGACATGTCAACATTTTTTAAGCTTTGCTCTATCCATCGTATAAAATTAAAGAAAACATTTGGAGCCGATTTTGAAAAAAAAAATTTTTTTAATAATTAGCTTTAACTTCAAGCAGAAATTACGCGAAAAGTATTCGGTTTCTTAAAAAATGTACATGAACGTTTCTTAAGATCTGATTTTGATTAGATTTCATTTAAGACAAAATTATCTCTCTCCATTATTGTAGTTTTGCAATGTTTACTGTTTTCACTGATCGATAATACAGATTAATAATAATAGTAATAATAGTAATAATAATAATAATAATAATAATAATAATAATAATAATAATAATAATAATAATAATAATAATGTTTTAGCTTTGTTACAAGGCAAACAAGGCAAGCATGTAGATATCTAACAAAATATAAACAATGAAGCAAACGACTGTAGTGTAAGTTCGTAAACCGTTGAAATAATTGAAGAGCACAGTGAACGCGGCATTGAATTTTTAATTAGTAAGTCACATGTAGTTATAAATGATAAACTAAATCGCCAATACCTCTCATCATTCGGGCTTCATATCTAAGAAACTATTCAGCCTAAAGTGTAATAAAAATTCTACATTGATACACCCCAAAGGTATAAATTTTTCGCTTCCAAGCAGATATAAAGGTAAAAAGAGTGCAAAATGTAAAAATGCGTAAGACCTGACAGATCAATGGACGTTGACTCCTTGGTTACTTTATCTTCTGGGTTTGGGCCAAATGCTATTTGAAGTCGTTTCATAAAGTAAATTGCACGCGATACATAGATCGTTCGATCCTACGTTGATTCGTTGAATTCGATTTCAGCCGAAATTTCTGTCGGCCGGTGTCGTCCTTCCGTATTCGTTCAAACACGTGTTGGTAAATATAAATCGTCTCAATGAATCCGAACGACTACTTCCGACGACGGTCCCTGAATATCGTCCGTCGCACGAAGATCTGTTTCGTTTAGTTTTATCCGTCAGAAGTCGGCTTACAGAAATTTTCCAAAATCTGCTCCACTGTGTCCGCCGCCTGAGGGTCGAATAAAACTGTGACGACGACAACGCTGGTGGCTTCGCGCAGCGGGGGAGGGGAGGGGAGGGAAGGGGCTGCCACGCCCCCGTGCCCCGCGACCTCCCCCGCAGCCGTCCGCCCGCGACCGCCCGGCCGCTGGCGGGCACGGGCGGGCACCGGCGGGCACGGGCCGGAAGGCGCGCTCGGAATAAAAGTGCCGGTCGGCGCGGCTCGGGGCGACCAGTCGGGGTGCTCCTGCCGCTGCCCACTGACCACCAGGTACCGCTCCTCGGCACCTCGCAGCTACCTGCCTTCACACGGCGCCACTCGGCATCGCTTCCGACCGGCGCGTCTTCTGGCGAAGCGTTGGTTTAAATGAAGGTGTTCGCACGACAGGGGAAGTCGCACTGCCTAGTCCTAGGGGTGACCGACTCCCGTCCACAGCAGCGCGGACGCACATCCGCGCCACCAGAACAGTTCTAAATGGCGGCCTTCACACGAAGCCAATCGGTGGCGCCACCGAGAAAGGGCAGAACCCTTCTGACACTCCAGCCGCCGTCAGCGAGAGAGGAAGGTTTCGTCAGTCACATCGCTGTGGGCTCCGACGGCCGAAAGGCATCTAGCAGTCACCTCTCCAGTGGCGCGTCTCGTGTGAAGACTGTCCTTTAGAAGTATGTTCTGCTGGTGGCGGGATTTTGCCACTGAGCGCCACAGCAGCGCGACAACGCCACTCGTGTGAATACCTCCATTTATGTTACGGCTTTGCCAGCAGACCCGCCACACGGAAGCGCTGTTGAGTGTCGCCGTGTAACCCGTAAGTTCCGTGTCGGAGTTTGTTCACAAGAAGGATTTCGCTGTTACGATAAGGGCTTTCGAAGCTGCTTAATTTTTAGTGGTTTAGCGGCATTTGTGTGAATATGCTATATGTATCGAAAATCAAATTTGGTGTGATAATAGCTACATCAGCGTTAAATAATTTGACTCCGGTTCGCATCGAAATAAAATGATCGTTTTTTCCGTGCAAAAGATTCGTGAATTTTTCCAGTCATTGGTAGTGGTTGACACACGCCGTACCTTCGTAACAGTGGCTGCAAACTATACATTCTTATATGCGAACGCAGTTGAATTTCTCGTTTGCAGAAGAGTATTCAATATTACCGTGTCTGTAATCAAATAATAATAATAATTATAATAACAATAATAATAACAACAGCTTGGTATACAACTTTATCTTCACATTCTGCGTAATTCATTTGAAACTTTCAAACATAAGTTATATTTACAGAATGTTTCCTTTTATTTAATTTAAGTAGATATTGTTTAGGAGTATTAATATCTATACTTTCCTTAATATTCTAATTTCTACCACTACTACTACTACTACTACTACTACTACTACTATTGCAAGGAAACAAAGTTTCCTCTGAAAAGGAATGAGCTCCTCACAAACAACTCTAAATCTTCGAATACACCGTGAATCATAGGAATTCATTGGGATACGACGGTCCTTTGTTAAAAGACATGCTTTCTTGAGTTTGAAAGATTAAATTTGGGTACCTCGTTTCGTCACCGGAGCGCGCACTTAAGTGTCGATGCGTCACGATCTGCGCCGACGGATTTCCCTTCCGCCTTAGCGGACGTATTTCGTTGTCCACGCGTCCACACAGCAGCCATAAGGAGTACGCAGAACCGTATCCGCGAATGGTTAAAACATGATCCCACGCTTCACGAAAGTGATATTCTCTTAACGTGAATACTAACGGAAAATGTGCCGTAAACCGCAGTGCGTGAATCTGCTTTTTATCCGAGTGCTCGAAGAAAGTTGCGAGATAAACGTGGAAGTTTGTGAGATTTTTTTTCTTCGCTCTTTTCAATTTTTAAACGTGAGGAAATATGTTGATTAGGTTTGTTTTTTACACATATTTGTTCTTTGTATGTAAATACCTCTTTTAGAACGGTGAGCGGACAAAACTCTTAAAATGGTGGGAATAGTGAATGGTCAGCTTTTACCGCGTAGAGTATATGAAGCCATCCAGCGGTGGCTATAATAGAATTGACTGGAATTCACCGTGGATTGGCAGTATCTAGGGAGTGAAATTTTTGTTTACTTAACATGATAAATGAAATATTCTATAGTAGTCTTTGAAAATCGACCGCATAATTGCACTAAGCAGTTTCGAAAACTCGAATGTTTGTGGTTCTTTGGTCATTCGAATCCTTTGAATTACAATTCTTTCAAATCGTGTTTCATTGCTGTTCTAATACATTCCCAAAACTGATTTTAACTACGAAACAAAATTCAAGATGACAAGACGGTAGTTCGAAAACAACGAATTCCAAGTGCAATTTGATTATTCTCCGAATCAGCAATGTATTATAATCAGAGTGAGCATTGGAAATGTGAACCAAAGTTGATAAATACTCTGTCGAGAGATTTTCGGGACAACGCATTTTGAAATCTTCCTTTTACGTGAGTTTTGCTCCTTGTCCAGCCGGACAAGAAATAATCACGAACAACAATTAACCAGTGTCACATTCTTGGTCGTCTCGTTGTCAGATGCGAACGAACATCGCTCCGATGATCTCATGAACGCATATATAGACTGCCACAATGCCCAAAGGGCACGTGCTCTGCCCAACTGCCTCTGGACTTCCTCGTGTCAGCCTTTCTGCAAAAAGCACTTGGAGAGCGGGCGAGGGTGTGGCAACGGCCGTCGAGCTCTTGGATCGTCTTTCTTCATCTCGCTTCGGCTCTTCCAGGAACGTCGCCTGCCGCGGCCGACTCCGAGCCGAAACAATACGCTTGCTGCAGCAGTTGCTACCCTACGGAAGAATCGTTTTCTTTCGCTCCGCACAGGTAAACGAGGCGTTCGAGTTTCGATAATATGATCCAAGATTTGAGGCGAAATGGAAGTTATTTTATCGAAGAGGGTGGTAGCGGTTTTTATTATTCAACTGGTTCGAGAAAGTTCATACTACAAATGACAATGATGATTCGCCCGTTCGTTACGGCCTGTGCCGCTGGTTTCGGGTAAACAGTTATAAGCAGGTGCGGATCCAGAGACGAATTTTGGAAGGGGGACTTTTTTCATTCAAAATGTTTTGGTCGGACGTGTCATATTAGGGGTCGCCGTAACGCCGAAGAGGGGACATGGGTTTGAGGCATCGTTACGCTGCGTTACATAGAGGTAGGGGGATTATAGTTTAGTGTTACGTAATTCTGATATTTATATTTTTTAATCTTTCAACATTTGCTGAAACAATTCCTTTTATTCCGACTTATACCATAACATTACCTTTACATCATTAAAAAATTAAATTAAAAATATAATAAATTAATGAAGTTATATTCTATAAATTGTTAAAATAAATAAAAATATTTTTCATCACTGATATATTGATTGAATCTTTGGGGGAGGCGGCATTTCGAAAGCGTTACATAATTATTAGAGGGGTGTTCAAGTGCGCATTACAGTGAGGAGAGGGGAAATTCAAAATACTCCAAATTTGTGTTTCGTAATTAAAGAACGGCCCATTACAGCTTATGTAGAATGATTCAGACTGAATTCAACTCATGTTGCGATATAATTTTATTCGTTTTAAGGTTTATACGAAAATATTTTTGCTTGGAAGTTTCGTGACATGTTAAAATAAATAGTTACTGAAAAATTGTGAGGGGAAAATTCCCTCATTTTCTTTCTCGTGGATCCGCCCCTGTAATAGGACATCGCTGTTTGTACGAAACATGAGGTGTCGGATATTGTTACTTACATCTAAAGGAGTCAAATACTCGTATTTTACGAACTTGCGGTGGTCTCTAATGGCCACTCACAATTGCCTCGTTAGCTCGATACGCACAACCCATCTTCCTAAAATGTTTAGTACACTCGTCACTTTTTCTTTGTTTTTCTAAAGTGAAAAGAAGTGCTTCCAAATGACGATTCCCTAACTCGTCCGTTTTCTCTGCAAGTTGTCCCAGGTACAAAATTTAGGGGTCTTGATTTTTAGGTTAGTACAGCGTCGTGTGCAGAGCAAAGAAACCCAGGCTGGGGCTATGGTCCTACTCCTACAGCCCACTCGCTGCCGGTCGGAACTTCTGCAGACAGGAGGCCAGGCTATTTTGATTCTAATGTGAATCGCTTAGGAAATGACTCTTAATATTTTTCCGAAAAAGAAAGTAACAATGAAAAAAGTGTTTTTGTTTTAATCACATTTTTATGGTGAAAGACAATTAGGCAAATTGTTCATGCATGGTTTTAGGCATGGTGTTATATGCCCCTCCTAATTTTAACGGTACCTATGCACCTATTTCAATTTTTTTTAATTAAAAGGTGTAAATAAAATTTCAATATCGAACGAGTATGTTTGATGATCGTTGTTTCCTTTTATCTTCAATTTACCGCGGGGAAGGAAATGCTTAAAAAGTTGCAGTAGCAATCCCAAATGACGACGTAATGTGACAATATGCATTTTTAGTTTCATAACAAAACTAAGGATTCTTTGTTTTTTCGTGTACTTCCACCCTTTTTTCAATTAATTGTCTAGAGTAACATTCTTGAATTACTTTTTGTTTTGAGCAATTGTGCATGCATTTCCAACTTATAAAATGTAAATAGTGGGGAGTCAGGATGTAACTTACTGTATAGAGATTTGATTAGAAGAGTGGGTTTTCGCTGGAATACTACTTCATCGAATACCTCTTTAATAATAATCTGCAATATGTACGGATACCATTAAATAGTTACTATAAAGAAATAAATACCGATAATTAAAAAAGATCATTAATATTCCTGCCGGTGTCGCTTGTACGAGTATATTATAATATCAGTTAATACATGAAAGAGTTGAAATGATATTGACCCGTGATGCACTGCAAGCTGTCGAATTGGTTGCCGAATGGAACACGCGGTGCTCGCCGTTGCTTAGATTGTGGGAAGAGGAGGTCCCAGTGTCGTTCAACGGCATCGGAGCGTCTCGGGCGGTGCATCGCGTTGGGCGCTTTCACTGCGCGCTTGTCGCCTTCATTTGTTCCGTCGCGCGGGCCCATCGAGGAGCATCCGCGTTGGCGTTCGCCTCCAGCGACTTGCTTCCGGCCCGCCAACAGAGATGTTCTTTTTCTTTGCAATGAAATGGGGGCTAGCGAGTGCATACCCATTGTACTTGTAGTTGTAATGACGCGGATTATGAAGCTTTAGGGATAATCATTTTTATGTCTAATTTATTATTATTGTTGTTATTAAGATTGAAGTGGTGTGGTGATAATGAGGGATAAAAGGACTAGGATAACGGTGGTAGGTGAGGTAGTGGGAAGTGTTCGTGGGATTTTGGGAACCACTCCAGCATTCGCCAGATGACAAAGTGAAAATACGAAAACTCCCAGCCAAGATGGCCTGTCCCGGGTTCGAACCCGAACCTCCTGATTGCGAATCCAGCGCGATAGGCACTGAACAACTTCGCTCGGTATTATTATTATTATTATTATTATTATTATTATTATTATTATTATTATTATTATTATTATCATCATCATTTTTGCATTTATTCTCAAAGCGAACCTTTTACCTCCAAGGGTGTTTTAAGGCCATACACTCGACGTTACCGCACTTGCGGATCCTCTTGGCACTGGATTGAGCATACGCGAAGTCCTCCCTCGCCCAAAGCAACAGAAGAGGAAGGGGCAGCGCCCGTAGCGCGGTGGCGCGGCGTTTCGAAACGTGGAATTCGAGACCGATGCGCTCAGTCTGTTACGTCTACTCCATTGTGCTTTAAGCGGTGTTCAAGTGCAGGCCCTATTTAAACGGAAACGATGCAATGTACGTGCAGCAGAATCCGTTGTGGTGCTCGAGTGATGGAGAAGCGTCGTCGGGCGACGTTGCACTCGGACCCAACACGCCGCGCCGCGCCGCGTCCGCTCCCAGGGCCATGAGTCAGCACCTGGCCGCCCCGCCCCCGCCGCGGCGCACGGCTCTCACCTGCCCGTTGACTCATTGCTCCGCTGCCACCGGCCCCGCTTAATCCCCGACTACCCTTTGCGCTTCTGATTCACCTAGCTCCAACCCTCCCCGCCTTTTCCTCATTCCGCCCTGCTGCCTTTGCTCTGCCTCACTGCCGCCCTTCTTCGCTGGCGACACTGCGCCCGCCCTCCCGCCCGCCGTCTTCCGTTCACGCACCCGGAACTCGGTGCCAGGCCGCCGCCCCCGCCCCCCCCCGCCCCCGCCCCTCGCCGCCGCACAAAATCGTTAACCGAGTGTGGCGAGGGTGGTGGCGGTGGTGGTGGCGGCGGAGGCGGTCGAAACCTTATTTCCACGTGCGTTCTTCTCCCGTTTGATGCGAAAACCGGGAGCAGGCCCTGTATACGAACTCGTCGTTTACGATCTAAAGTTGGTAAATGACGTAACATACGAACGCACTTCATCAACAATTCGTACCGGGCTGGGAAACAAGTTCCACTTGCAATCCGCACACACTGAACGTGTGGTAATAAGCTTTAGTTTAGCCGAGAGTAGTTGGATGTGACTATTGGTGTCCGGATCGCGCTTCGGGACAGTTCCGGCCCCGGGCCACAAAGGAACCAGGTCCGGAGCCGGGGAGCGGAAGGCAAAAAGACCGCGCGGAGAGGGGGACGGGTTGAGGGGGCGGTGGGGACGTAAGAAAGAAAAGAACAGGAGCAGCAGCAGCAGCAGCAGACGGGCGGGAGGGGGAGGGGCGCTGGAGGCGGCGGCGTCCGTGAGCGCGAGTGTGGTGTGTGTGTGTGAGAGAGGGAGCGAGTGCGCCGCTCCGTGCCGTGCCGCGCCGCGCCGCCGCCGCTGTCGAGCCGTGTGCAAGCGCGGGCTTCGCCGGCCAGTGGTGCCGTGCGGCACGGCCGGGCCACGGCGCGGCGCGGCGGAGCGGAGCGGCAGCCCCCCCGACACTGGCATTTTTGCTCGCGGCCGCGAACAAAGCCACCGGTGCTCCGCTGCGCTCCGGACGCCCGCCGCCGCTCCGCCAACTGCGCCCGGGCCGCCGTAAGTACCCGCCGGCACGCCAGGCGAGACCGCCGGCCCCCGTGACAGCGCGATCGACGCCGCCCGCCCGCATCGGGTTTCGCTATCCGTTGTGTGTGTGTGTGGTCGCAGATCCCGCCGTGCGAGGCACTCAGTCCACGTGCGCAGCCCTGGCCCTCGCCCTGTGCGGCGTTGCCGGTGCGTGCTTCGTGTGGATGCGGCTCCGAGCCCTTCATTGCGGTTTAGTGTGTTGCGAGCTTCACGTGTGAACTTTCGACTCAAGACCAAAGCAGTTGTGTTTCGTACAGTTTGCGATCCTCGCCTACAAAATTTCGACGCACTGTCTCGGGCGTTACGTGAAAGGCAGTGTTAGTAATTTATTAGTAATGTTTTACATTGTACCTGTAAAATAATTTGACATAAAGTGAGTCCGAATTGTGTGAACTTGTTGCACACTAAACTATTAATTTTATTATTATTATTTATTCTATTATTATTATTATTAATTAGTATTATCATCTTCATCATTGTTCACTTTCGTGATGGACTTGTGTCCCTCTTAACTTCATACCTGAAGGGCTCAAACAGTTGGGCGTATTCCTTGCGGAATTGTTGTCCATTAGGATAGAAATTTTGATTTGTAATGGGAGAGGGCAACTATACAAGCAGGATTAATCCCCTAAACTCTCACTTCAGCTTACTGCGTATAATCTTTAATGTGTGTTAATTAACATTTTGAAAGAACAGGCTCATTACATTTAAATTCTATAAAATATAAAAAATCTATATGTTTTATTGTTGTAGGCCTTTATAAATTCGGTTACTTTTTGACACATGTCATGCGTGTTTCTTTCTTGAACTATTTCAGCACCAT